TTATTTATTAATTTATGTTAATATTTTTGCATTTTCTTTTTAAGACACCCTATGCTTATAGCGCCGACACTTGGTACTGGCAGCACTATTAATCAAATTTTCACTAATCTGGTAATCTCCGATATAGTAGATTCTCTGCCTAGTTTCATTTTTGTATGCAAATTTTTGTTGTACTCATCTAATAAGCAATTAATCAGTTGCCTGAATACCCCTATTATATTTTTCTGTGATTATGATGATAATGTTTTTGTGTATGATGTGGTAGGTTACTTGTGTGGATGACTATATTAATCTTAATTTTAATTTAATAATTAAATGATTAATTAAATTATTTAAATTTAATTAAACTTAATTAAATTAAATAATTAATTTAATTTATTATTAATTTATTAATTAAAAAATTAATTTAATTTATTTGATATTTTAATATGATATACGTATCTTTAGTAAAACATATAATTTGGGTACATTTGGTCTGGGTTCAAGTCAATCTTCCTTTGAAAGTCTTGATTTTGTTTGTAGAGATCATTTACTGATTTGTTGTTTTAGTAAAACAAGATTTTTATTGTAATGGGTGACTTTTTTTTTGAAGATGAGTAAAAGCATCGAAAGTTTGTGAGTGAATTTAAGAATTTAAACAGCTCTCGTCAAGGCGAAAAGTTATTTCTATACCTACCGTTAGGCAGAGGTACTTGGCATACGTGACACTGGAATATCGAAATTTTTAAAACGAAAAATTGAACTTTATTAATATTGTTAAATTTTGAATATGGTTTTTGAAGTTGCTAAATTCAAAATGGTATCCATTCATTTTTTGTAACTAATCACCCATATATATAATTGCATTTAATTAAATTTTAAAGGAAAATAAATGTGCGTTCATGTGTGAAATGCTTTAAATTTCACTAAGTTTTGATTATTTGATTTTAACGTTTTAGTGACCAAAATATCTGGAAAACAAAATTAATATTGTTGAGAATCTGAAAAGAGAATAAATGTTTAAAAAGTATCTATATCAGGGGCGAAGCGTCGATACTTATACTTAACATATCTTTTTAACATTTCTCTAAGTAGACAACAGAAAAACAAGTGCAAATGCAATAGCAAGAAATAATCGTTAATTGCACTCTATTTATACTTATTTTGTATGTGTATTTTTCATATGTTTCTCTTAAGGTTCTAAGGTTGAAAGAAAAAATTGCACTGCATTCTTTACAAAGACTGCTAATCAAATCATATTTGTTATCAGAATTCAAATATTGATTCACAAACCGTAGCACATATACTGGGTTTTAGGATTAAAGACAACAACATTTAAACTGACTCCTACACAGAAAGACAAATACACATTAAATGAATCCTACAATATGTTAAAAATTACAAATTGCATAGTGGCAGAAATAATTAAAAACTAGAATGACAAATACCATGTGTATGAATAACTTTTTTAAAAGATTTAAAAAGGCTTAAATAAGAGATGGGGTCGGCGAAAAATACGCACCGTATTAATTTATCACTAAGTCACTTTGTTCGTCTAACATTAAACTTCAAACACATTCAAGTTAAGTCCGCCAACAATATAGCGTTTGTGTGTTATGATTCAGTGATTATGACGAATTTTATGTCTAAAAAAAACTCACTTCATCGATTAGAACATGTCAGATATAGTTTCTACAATTTATAAGTTGTGAATTCTATGTGAAAGAGTCAGCGCTATGATAGACCACAAAAGTGCAATGACAAGCAATTGCAGAAGTTGTTGGATTATGACCCAACTCAAACTTAACAACAATTGGCAAAAACAATTAATGTATCACAAAAAACAATCATCAGACGTTCCTACACAGTTTGAATGAATGTCAAATGGTCAAAACGCAGTCACTTGTGAAATGTTTCTTCAATACCACGAAAGAAAATAATTGTATCGAATTGTGACGAGTGATGAAAAATGGATTTATTTTAAAAAATGGGAGCGAAAAAAAATCGTGAGTGTAACCTGGCGAAGCCGTTTGCTCAACACGAAGGCCAAATCGCTTCGGTAAGTAGACCGTGCTTTGTATCGGTGCGTTAGACCGGTATTGTGTCTCTTGAGCTTATGAAGTCTTGAAACTTGGTGAAACTATTAATACACAACGCGGAAGAAGATTGGAATGAGCCAGAAGTTTTGGCAAAATGTTTGTGGTACACGAAAATACCTACTTCACACAGCAAAATCAATAAAGACACCTTGAAATGGCTTAGAGGAGACATCTTTTCGCATCCGCCGTTCTCTCTAGATCTTGCGCCATCTGAGGCACGTGCTCACAGAGCAGGACTTCAGCCATTTCGAAAAAGTTGGAAAATGGCTCAAAGAATTTTATACGGACAAACGGATTAGTGAAAATAAGTGACCCTTACACGAAATATACATATCAAATATAAAGGAAAAGAATATTTTATTGAATAAATAAAGCTTAAAATGGCACAGTCATGTTGTTATTTTATGTAAGCAAGCAGTTCAATACAAAAAGTAAATCTTTGCCTAAAATATTATTTTAAGATAAGGTGGACATTATATCGGTGTTCTAAGAAGAAATACATGCCAAAGTTAAATTTGGACATCCCCTACAAACGCTGCATGCTAGACATGCAAATAAAGGTGGTGGAGGAGTCACATCCTTCGAGTCAATTCTGGTGAACACCCAGCTAATAAGATGATGTCTCGCTGTTGGTATCACCTTAATCAGCTTTAAGCTTTATAACCGAATGACATATGGAATTGCATAATCCTCTCAACTTTTGTATTGGGTTTTTAAATTATCACCAGCGTGAGCTCTTCTTTGAAACTAAACAGCGTTTGTCAATCATACTGTTTAACTCTTATCATCTGTGTCTCTTCCATTAAAATCGTGGACGATAAATCACAGCAGATACTTTGAAACTCTGGCATTGTCCAATTATTCCATTACTTTCTGCCAATTCGCTTTCAGTTTTTACCTAGTTGACAAAAGGCTGTCTCCCTGCATATACCAGCATGTTCTATGTTTTGACCAGCATGTTTCTAGATTTCTATATAAAATACACCAGTAAACAGTTAATTTTAAATATTTTATTTACCATTAGCTCACATATTTCAATTATTAAGTGAAAGTTCAATATAAAAGAAATTTTAGAAATAGCAACATACTATAGTTGACAAAATTTTAATTGCGGCATGACTATGAATACTTTTCTTTCGGAGTACACGACGTGTTTCAATAAGATTAGTGCCTCTCCAATGACGAAAAAATTTGCTTTGAATACTCTGCTATGTACTAGCAGTCGGAAAGATTTCTGTATTGGCAGTCCTCCCCCGTCTTGTTCGGTTTAGATCCACCTGTATATATGAAACATTAGATCCATTAGAACATTAGATGAGGCGGTGTTCGCAAACCTTCCCATATATATCATAGCGGCATCATCTGCGTAAGCCATACCTGTCATCTTATCATGTTCACAAGCAATTGATTCATTGTTAATGAAGATGTGGTGGTCTTCCTTCTAGATTCTCTACTGGAACCATATATGTTATATACATATATTTCTTGTTTTTATTTTTAGAATTAAGAGAAATACAATTGATTTAGTTTTATTTTCCCTTATTTAACAATAAAAATGTGATATCTTAGATAATGTATATAACTTACTTAATTAAATTAAATTTACTTTATTTTTCTTCAAAAATCTTGTTAATGTAATTTTTAATTCCATTATTATACCTTATTTCCTTTTAATTTTCTTCAATTTAATTTCATTACATTTTTTATTTCTAAATTTCATTTACTTGCATTATCTCGTTTTCAAAATATTGTTTACATTGTTATCCTCATAATTCAGATTGTTCTTGATCACTCACAATTTCGTCAGTCAGACTCCTCGAATACCTACCGTTCATATATTACCGGTATCGGTGCGATAGAACTTTATCGTCAATTTTTTTTTAATCTTAAGAAATCACTTCGGCCGCTTCGTTCAATAGATCTAGTGATTCTTTCGTGAGAATCAGCTTTCTATTCCTAGTTGCAATTTATGATTCTTCTAACTTAAGAATTTTCGAATTATTCACCGGTTTTCAATTGGTTTAGTATATTTTAAGGTTCAATTGGAGTTTCTGACTTCAATACTATGGATATACTGCATCTATCTTACTGATGACTGTCCAGTTAACTGGGTGTAGTTAACTCCAAAAACGTTCTTGCCAATTAAAACCTGCCTTGTTATAATCCTCCAATGTGATTTCTTTTTATTGTATAATACTCGCCGCCATTGGTCTTTCAACGATTACTTGCATCTATGACTGGAATCGATTTCATGATATGATTTTTTAGCTCTATTTCTACATATTTCGATTTTTGAAATAATTCGGAATATTAATATTCCAAATATAGAAATATAATATTAAAGAAATCAATACAGCAATAGAATTGGTTGTGCATACTTTTATTATTTAAGTCAGGGTTACATTATATCCTAATATATTGGATAGGTGGTGCAGTGTAATAGGAATGCAGAATTTTTTTTTTTTTTTTGATCTAAGAATATATTATAAAAATATATTCACATAAACTTGGATGTTTAGATTGATTGCACTTGAATTTACATACAAGAGTGTGCGTTTGTTCATTGCTTCAATAATTTCCCTCAGATTGTCATATTTGGTATCGGCACTTGGTATAATTATATATAAGAAATTCTCAATTGCGTTGGCATCAGGACTATGTCCTGAACATTTCATTTCATTTCATTGCAAAAATGAAGTGACGTCAGTAAGACTCATATAATTTTTTTTGAAAATTTTGTTTAACATATAAAATTTAAATGCTGCAATTTCGAATTCACATTTTAGTTTTCGTTTAGTTTTTGATTTTTGTTTTAAATATCCACAAAAAATATTTCTTCTATTTAAACTGGATTTTGAATTGAATTTATATATAATATTGTGTATAATTTTCGACAAAATTTTCGAATCTTATTTGTTATAGATTATGACATCAAATAAAAAGAAAAAAATTGTTCGACTGCAAACGGCACCACCATCTAAACATATACTGTCATCAAATAGTCAACACTTTCAAATTAATAAGGCATATAATGTAGTTTCTATTTTAAAAACATCAATTCCAAATACTCAACGGCAACAACATCAGCAACACCTGCAACAACCACAACAACAAAAACATCATCACCAACAGGCGCAACCTATAACGCAAAGTTATGCCAATGTAGTTAATAGGTCAGTGCCGACCGTAATATGTGGAAATGGAAATATGGTTGCTGTTAACAATTGTCAGATATCAAATGCCGATATTAGCCCAACGCCCGTGATTTTTAATATAAATCATCGAGCAGTAAATAATACTAGTTATATTGACCCGAATATAAAAACTGTAGGATACATTGGTAAAACTGACTGTAGTGCCAATGGTATCGGTAGTAGCAGTAACAATATTGCTGGTAGTGGTGGTAACGGCAGTAATATTATTACTTTGGCCAATAGCAAGTCGTCAATCTGTCCTAATATGTTAGGGTCATCATTAGGTGGTGCCACAGGCGGTTCTTACCTTAATGTGAAAGGTGTTGGTGTTAATGTTAATTGTATCGATAATAGGAATTACGATTTGAAAAATAACAAGTTAATCAATAACAAAAACTTTCAAGCAACGCAAGAGGTATGCTAGGCATATTTTAATATTATTTTATATTTTTTCACATTTAGGTTGATATATACGTTATTTTTTATATAGTATATATATTTTTTACTATATTATATATTTATATATATGTTTTTATAAAAAAATATATATTTATATAATATATAATTATTTTGTATAAAAAAATATAAATATTTCATACAACTTCATTTGTGTAAGCATTTATTTAATTTATTCTATATTAGTATGTTCCGCCATCTGGTCCTAATAATACAAACAACGTTCGTTCAAACCAGCAGACCGGAAACCCTTATCGCGGCCCATCAACACAAACATCGCGCACTAACGCTCGACATGTTTCTCTTCAACCAATGTATACACAAAGAATACATCCTGGAGTAGTATTACCTTTTGCTCCGCGGTTCGATCCGCGTCAAGGTTATCAAACTGGACAATTTTCGATTTCACAACCAATGCATGCAAGTCACTTTTATCAGTACTCTTTTTTACAACCGATGCAAACACAATCACATCAATGTGGATCAGTTAATGTTAACGCTGGGGTAGCTGTTGCTAATTCTATGCCCGTACAAACTGGACCAAATGGACCTATATCAGGGCCTACAGGCGCAGCTCAAGCACCAATGACACTTACACCTGGAACAGTTTTAACAGGTGCAGTTCCACCTGTTACTAATCCAGTATTAGCTGTTGCTCCACCAACTTCATCGCAGCATAGTGGTATTTCATCAGTAACTACTTCACAAGGTAATCGACTCCGAAAACATTGTCTTCCAATAATTGACCCTCATACGAAAAAAAATATATTAGAGGATTTAGACTTAAATAAGGTAAATAGATGTTATAAGATTATATATTTAATTTGTTAATATATTTTTATAAAAGAATTCATCAAATATGGAATGTGAGTACCAAGACCATGTACTGCCACCACAAACAGCTTCGAAATTACACACTGATATGCAATTTGGTACTGTACTGCAAGAACAATCGCTTGGTGGAACTGAAGGCGATATTGTATTAACATCGGAATCACTACCTTCAAACTCTATTTTCTCTATAGGTACAATTAAATTATATTTTTTTTAAACTTTCACTTTCATGTTTTATTATGTAGATACACCGCAACTACAACAACAGAGAGATTTAATAGGACAAACTCCAATAGTATCAGCAATATCTGATGCACCATCTGTGGAAATCCCAACAATTGCTCAAAAGTTAATAAGTAAAAAGTAAGTGAACACAATACTATCTAATAATATAAAAATAACTAGTTACTAATGTTTTAAATAAATAATCAAGAATAAGCAGGGACCGAAAGTAAAAGTTATTTCACAATTTTTTATGAAAAAAAGCAGGAACAAAAAGTTGTCTAAACTCATATCTAAGTATATAGTTATCAGTTTAACAACTTTTATTCTTAATATTATGCATGCTTTTTATATATAGCATTTTAAAATAAAACTCAAAAAATAATAATTAAATTTGCTTTATATTTTGATTTTTTCGCGCAGAAATAAATCTTAAAATTCTGCTTTTTATTTTAAAATGCACAAATAACGCTCGTGAGCCATTAAGTTATAAATTGTCTCACGCTCGTGAGCAAGAGTTCGAGTTGAGGCTAATGAGACCTCATGCTCTGCTTACAAGAAGGTGCTGCATGGTGGAATATAAAAAATATGTAGCATTGTTGTTGTTTTCATTCCACAGTTTGGCATGCGCCACTATTTATTTGAATTTTGCAGAGTTCGGAATGTGGTGCACAAAATCGCACACTGCACTGTGCGAGTGGAAATTATTTTTAAAATATGCACACGCACATTTGTGGTGTTAAGAAAAAAAATGCACGCACTCAAATTTGTTGTGCGATTTTAAATTTCACATCGCACAAAGCGATGATTGTGCACACAGATTCGTGCACACACATTTGTGCTGTGTGACTGATTTTTAAAAATGTGCACAATCAGATGTGCGAGAAAATTTTATGCTCGCACCGCACTGTGCGACAAAAAATTCTCTTTGCACACGAGTGTGCTGCTCATATTACGTTTGCACAAATGTGCACAAATGTGCGACTGCACAAACGTGCACAAATGTGCGATGCACAAACGTGCACAAATGTGCGATGCACAAACGTGCACAAATGTGCGATTTTGCGCTTGCACCCAAGGGTGGAAAAAATTACAGGAACTTCACAATTTTGTTTGAAATAGAAAATATTATTTTGTTGCAAATTTTGAAAAAAATTGATATTTGCGTTCGTTGGGATCGTAATTTATGTTAAAAATTGCATAAATTAACAAATATTTAAAATAATTATTTTTGTTAATTAATGTAAACTAAAAATTATAACTGTCTTAACCTTATTTGTATTTTAACTTAAAATATTAGTTTTTTGTATATTACTTTGAGCATTTTTAAATGCAAATATAGTAAGTGAACTTAAAGTATTTGTTTGGAAAGTTTTGCACCAGTTTAAAAAAAATAAAAACATATTTTAGGAAGATTTTTTTATGCCCAAAAAATATGAAAGATTAGGAAAATATTTTTTTTGAACAGGTAGCAGGTATTGGTATTGGTGTATTTGTTTAATAAATTTTGCAACAGTTTAAAAAAGATAATACGGGAGGGCCACAAATAGATATTTTTCTTCTCCAGAAATATGTATTCACATAGGTAGAGTATCTAACATTCATTAAAAAACGCGAAAGATTAAGAAAATATTTTCTTGAACAGGTAGCAGGATTTTAGCGCCCTTTCTACTGTGATAAGTAAGCAGAGATATAATTTAAGTGAAAAAAATATTTCAGCAATGTTATTAATAAGATTAAATGAAAATTTATTTCAAATAATATGTAATAAAAATTATATATTTTATAATAAGAAATTAAGATATTAAATTATAAAATTATTTCAATAACTTTGTTAAATTTAAGCTGTAATTAAAGATAAAAAATTAATTGAAATCTAATAACAAAATTAATTCATGTTGTTGTAAAAAATATTTAATTTGCTTTTTATAACCTTACTAACGAATCTTAGTGTACAACTTACTATTAAATAAAATTTTATGAAGTAGTCCAAAATTGATATATTTAATTTTTTCAAAGTACGATCCGTAGAACCGATCCTCTTTACTTATAACATTTCGAAACAAATACTCTTTCTCTATTAAATTCATGTACCTATTTAATATAACAAAGTTTTCAAGTACATTGTGAAATTAACTTTATTCCCATATTTTAAATTAATAAACCTTAAAAAAATAAGTAATATAAGCAATAAATGTAAATCTAATAATAAATTCAAAATTAAAATATAAATACAAAATTATTTCTTCAATAAAATATTTCGCATTAAGACCAAAATTAATACAAATCAGTTTTCCGTACTATTTTGCTGCGATATTTGTCATAATATTGTGCGCTTTTAAATCATAATTTTACACAAACGTGCAGTAGACATTTCGTCTCCGCACATTTGGGTGCATTTTTATTTTCGAGCCTGCACACAAAATGTGCTTCTCGTATTCTTTTCTGCACACGTTGTGTGCGAGGGCAAGTTGGCTGCCGCACACACAATGTGCTGTGCGAAATAACTTCGGCACAAACAACGAATGCGTGTGCGAGTTTTATTTCACTCCACCACACTCGTGTGAAATGTGCGTTTCGTTTGTGCACACAAGATGTGCACTTAAGATGTGCACAAAAATTTTCGCACACCACATTTGTGGTGTGAAATTTTAGAATCGCACAACATTTGTGCGTGGTGTTTTGCATTTTTGTGCACAGCACAGTGTTTTTCTGAACCCTGGAATTTTGTGATCTTACTTAATCGTTTTATATTACTTCAAGAGTTTTAAACTATATTATATTGCGTTTCGGAAAATTTGAAAATAAAAAAATAAATATTTCAAAGTTTTACCTGAATGTAATAAAACAATTTGCTGATAATGCGAAAAACAATGTATTATTGTTTTTTTTATATTGTTTTAATATAAATAATTTTAAGCTAAATTAATTTCAAATTATATATTTTCACATAGCTTTTTATTGAACAATTGAGCTCTCGCTCGTGAGACCTCATGAGCAACTCTTTAATATGAGGCTCACGCTGGTGAACAGCTTTTCAAAATAAGCCCATTTTGAGCTCACGCTCATGAGCCAATTTTAGGCTCACGTAAAAATTGAGTGAGCACTCATGAGTGAACAAATACGAATTCCGTGTTTCATACAAGGTAGTTGTTTTTGTAATTCCATACAAAATGTTTTAAAGGATTGGCAAAAGTAACAGTTATTTGTGCGTTTTAAAATAAAAAGCAAAATTTTAATAGTTATTTCTGTGCGAAAAAATAAAAGGCACATAAAATAATTATTTTTGATGAATATTTTATATTAAAATGCGAATGATAATAGTTAAAAGATTATTTTTTTTTTTTTTAAGAGAACGGATTCAGAATAAAGCAAGATATTAAATATTTATTTGAAAATGAAAAAACTCAAAGAAAAATACTAAAAATGACTAAATATTGGGCGTGACAGAAAATACAGATCAAATCGAAATGCAGAAGTAAAACTACAGTAGTGTTTTAATTGTAGATCACATATTGCAAAAAATTGCTTTAAAAAAAAAAAAATAAATAAAATAAAAAAAAAATAAAATAAAATAAAACAAAAAAAAAAAAAAAAAAAAAAAAAAAAAAAAAAAAAAAAAAAAAAAAAAAAAAATAAAATTAAATTAAAAAAAAAATAAAATAAAATAAAATTAAAAAAAAAATAAAATAAAATAAAATTAAAAAAAAAATAAAATAAAATAAAATTAAAAAAAAAATAAAAAAAAGGGAACAAATGCATTTTATTAAATAGAAAAAGTCTTCGAAAATTTCATTATAAACACCAGGGGCGAACATTTTGCTGACATAGTGGTGGCCGTGAGCATTGTTCAAGTACTGAAATGTTTGGAGAGTATGTCGTTGGAAAAAGTGATAATTACGTTATATAGACTGAAAAACATGTCAACAAAACCTTTCAATACAATAGTCATTTTTAATCGGTAAAAATGTTTTGGACAAATTCGAGTAAACGTGCTTCATTAATAAACAAAATGAAGCAATAGAAAACCTAGTACAAGACTGAGGCAAAATGTAGTACCCAATCAGTGTCGTAATAGCTTAGAAGATAAGTGATTCCTGTCGCGTTTGTATTAACTACCGTAAATTAAAGTATGGTTCCCCATGATGTTTTCCCAGTTTTCCGTTAATAGATTAAGTGTAAGAAAAACTGCGATATTTCATAATTATTGATATGGAAAATGAAGTTTTTCACGTGCTGTAAGAAGTACACAGTAAATGTATTGGCGGTTACGAATATATGCTCCTATTTTCAATTTTTTAAAGCAATTACTGAAAGTTTAATTAAAATGATATATTAAAATATTAATTATTTATAAGCAAATTAAATTCCCTAATATCAATAACTTCCGCCTGAAAAACTAATGATCAGAAAACCTATAATAAGAAGGTTTATTTAGTACTTTCGAGAAAACTGCACTGCTTACCCCTACACTCATCTTACAGTGGTCTATAACAATGGTTATTACACCCTCTTCAGGCGGGACTTAATGAGGGAGCTCCAGACAGACATATGTCTCTATATGGAAAGTTGATACTAAATCTTCTGTCAAAATTAAGACTGAAAAAAATTTAGTTAATGATATTTAGACTAAAACTGAAAAGATTTAGAATGGAAGCCATAGTAGTTGTAACCAGTCTTCTGTTGCCATGTAGCTTTAAGTCTAAAATCAGATGATGATTTAGTAGCATTAAACGAAGCTTTAGGTCTAACACAATGAATGATGATGTACACAGGCTACCACTGACAAGGAGTTCAGTTTAATGATTTACTCTGTTGACAGTTCCTATTACTAGCAGAAACTACAATAAGCTTTTCGTCTAGTTCTTTTAGACTTTAGCAGTTCCTCTCAATTCTATTCAGATTAGCTTTATTAAATAGTCTCCTCCAGGCGATATAAACCGCTTTCTTGATTTACATCTTATTCAGTTTGTTACCTATCTAGATTGTAGTTCATGGCGATCATAAGCTAAATAAGTAATGTTTTTTGCTAAATAATACAACTATTCTATTCGATTGTTGAAATGTAAATCATTTTATTATTCGATATTATTATTAAAATGTGAAGAAATCAGGAAATCATGCCACTTTACTGTTTTTATAAATTTGGAATAAATGAGTAACTACAATATAAAAGTCTATGAGTTGATCATGCGATTTAACCGTTTCTCCAATTTTATAGAAACGTTTACAATTCTTGCGTACATACATGTATTTGGGCGGATTCATACAATTATGTTACTTGCAGATGCTGCCTATATTTGGCCCCAGGAGCCCACAGTTTAGTATTTATCACTATAGGGTTACGCGAATGAAGTGTTACCAACTACACATAAGTATATCTGCCAAACTGATATACGTGAACCAACTACGTGACATTCATACAAATGATAGCTATTTATATTGTTTACAATCTACCACAAGCATTTGCGTTTAAGTTTTATAGAACAGAAGTTATTCGAAATGGAAATCAAACCTAATAATGTGATCGCATTATATTTGGCTGGAAAATCACAACCAGCTAGCTGAAACACCTCAAAATGAATAAAATGTTTGAGAACCGTACTATAAATCGTTATAATAGTAGAGGCAGAGTCGTCGAATGCTATCGTGGCGGACGTAAAGAAACAGCAACATAACCTGAAAATTTCCGGAAAGTGAAGGCTCAAATAAAACGAAATCCACGTAATGGTGGTAATCCAATGGTCAAAGAACTAAAAATAACTTAGCGAAGCATCCGACAGATATTCCAAAATGAGCTTAAAATAAACTCCTATACGTTCCAAAAGGCACAAGATTTTACACCAAAGCAACAAAAAGTTAGACTTGAAAGAGCAAAGGAGCTGTTGGGCTTGCACGAACGTGGCGAAATGTTTTCTGATGAGAAAAAATTCCCCATTGAGCAGTTTATAAACTTTCAAAATGATCGTGTTTATGTAACTAAACGCACTACCGAAAATTTGAGATTACGAATAGCTACCCAATGTAATTTTCCATCTCAAGTAATGGAAAATTGGCAGCTCTCCAATTGCACCGCAGATGGACGCTCTCCAATCGTTTTCATCAAGCTTGGTGTCAAAGTCAATGCGACTTTTTATCACTAAAATGTGTGGGAAGTTGCTTTAGATCAGTGGGCAAGCAAATATTTTGGTCGTATACCATGACCGTTCCACCAGTCTCGATCTTATAAAGCTTGTGTAAACCAAGAATGGTTAAAAAAAGATGGTGCACATTTCGTCCATACAAAAGCTTTCAAATTCGCCAGATGCAAATGCAATGAATTGTTCCATTTGGGCCATTTTAGACAGCAAGATAAGGACTAAAAAATATAACAGTATGGATGCGCTGAAAAAAGCCATTAAACGAAACACATCCGTGAAGCATGCAACTCATTTTTTAACCTTTTGAAGGCTATAGTCAAGGCAAAAAGTGGACACCGAGCTAAAGTGAATGGATTCTGAAATTTTTATTAGTTGGTAACTTGAATTGGTAATTGCTTCCTAAAGACTGGTAAAGCAAATCTGTTGTTGGAAACGCTGTAGAATTTGCAGTGACTCTTCGTTATTAAAGTGGTGTTTTCTTGTTTCTATTTTGACAACTTGCTATGAAACGTTCTCCGTGTTCTCATCTTAGCGAAGTGAATGTATTTTCTATATACAGTGACTCCATCGCATAATCGGACAAGCATTTGTTCGTTATAAATGTGCTCTAAACTTTAAAAAAAATCCTAAAAATATGATTTTTTTTTTGCTTTAATTAATACTTAACATACTTATCTATCTAAATTATAAAAAAAAAAAAAAACATTTCTCATAATAACTATTAATTTAAAGTAAAAAACAGAACCAACACAATTTTTTGGGCTCAACGTATAATCGGACAAAATTAAGCATTCATGCTAAAAATACTGTCAGAACAATGTTTTTTACATTAAGATAAATATAAATTATAAATTATATAATTGTAACAATTAGTATTAAAATTAGTATTAAAATGGCACCAAATGGAAAGCAATCTACTGTCGAAATTAGGCAATTAATAATTAAATTGAATTTCGAAGGTAAAACCTTTAGAAAAAACTACTATCCAAGACATTATCCAGAGGTCCCATGATGAATTTAGGCTAGCCAATAAGATCAGAGTAACTCAAGACAAAATATAAAATGATCGAAAAGAGCGTTCGAATTTAAAAGAAATAAACAAAAATCCTTTCAAAACCGCAAAAGACCTTAAATTATCATTAAAATCGCGCACTGGAAAAGATGTATGCTTAAATACTATTCGCAATACATTACATAAATTCAATTATCACGAAAGAATTGCCAGGAAGAAGCCGTTTATAAGTATTAAAAATAACAACAAAAGAATAAAATTTGTTAAGGAATATTTACTAAAAATAGAAAGCTTTTGGAATTAAGTAAATTGGTGGTAAATCATCTTAAACACATTTTCATTGATAATTTTCATTTTTTTAAGGTTTTGTTCACTGATAAAAGTAAATTTAATCTGAATAGATCTGATGGTAAGATGTTTGTATGCCGTAAAAACCAAATACAGAATTCAATCATCACAATACAAAAACCACTATAAAACATGCAGGAGGCTTGGTTTGGGGTTGTATGTCGAGTGCGGGAGTGGGTAATTTGCATTTTATAGATAGTAAAATGGGCAAATCTGAATACCTCGACATTCTGAAACAGAATATAAAGCAAAGTGCAGAGAAATTGAGTATCTCAGAAAATTTTAATTTTTATCAGGACAACGATCTCAAGCATACGTCAGGCGTAGCAAAGCTTTGGTTGATCCATAACTGCCCCAAACTCATAGACGCACCTGCATAGAGCCCAGACCTTAATGTAGTTGAGCATCTTTAGGAGGAATTAGCTAGGAGAGTACCAAAAAAAATTTAACACAATAGTACAGCTAAAGGAAGCTTTACTCGAAGCATGGTACTCTATTGAGCCAGAAGTGTGCCAAAAATTGGTAAAATCAGTTCCAAATTGTATTCAGGCCGTTCTGGATAACAAAGGATATGCATAAAATATTAAATGCCACATTTCTGCATTTTTAATGTGGATGTTTAATTTTGTCCGATTATACGTTGAGCCCAAAAAATTATGTTGGTTCTTTTTTTTACTTTAAATTAATAGTTATTATGAAAAATGTTTTGTTTTTTTTTTTTATAATTTAGATAGATAAGTATGTTAAGTAATAATTAAAGCAAAAAAAAATCATATTTTTAGGAGTTTTTTTAAGGTTTAGAGCACATTTATATTGAACAAATGCTTCTCCGATTATGCGATGGAGTCACTGTATGTGGTATATTTATTAATTGAAAGTTTTTATATACAACCTAAACAATTAAATAGTTAATTAGATCTTCATTAATATAATAATTTAAATACATTAGCAATATTCCAATCTCATTCATATTAAAAAATTTTCTGTTAAGAGTTAAAGTTGATCCTATTTATATGGACACTTAATATACTGTTAATAATAAGAATGAATGAGCTAGTACCCCAGCTCCCACTTGCTAGCTCCCATATACTGTTGTAGCTGTCTACTTGCATTTTCAATTTGCAATAGATATTTAGGCATATATTGTAAACTTGAAAAATGTTTTCAAATTGTAATTAAATTTCGTAAATGGAGAAACAATTAATTTTAATGTTGCGATAAAAATCTAACAAAAATTTTTATATCAAAAACAAATCAATGTATGGAAAATGTTTATAATATTTATTTTTAAATTCCTTTTCAGATCGCATATTCCGAGAGAAATATTATCTGTTCCTCAAACTACAAGTAAGTTTCGTTTTAATTTAACATATATAGATTTTTAAAAAATATTTGGCTACAGAAAAATTATTTCATGATATATATTGTCTTTGCGGATTTTTATTTGTCTTAACGGAATAAATAAAAATTTTTAAATATAGTACTATTGTATTGATAGTTGTTGATATTAAAAAAAGCAGCTTTAAAACAGGTTAGATTGAATTTTAAGGTAAGGTGACTAGAGTTTTAGATGGGTAAAGCGGAAAAACTCTGAAGGAGGGGGGAGGAGTGGTGGGTGGTATCAACAAAAATTTTCATACAGAATAAAAATAATATTGTAATATTTTTTATGTTTAACATAAGTACAAATGCCTGCGTAATCTCCCAGAAGACGCAATCCAATTGCGCAAACTGCATGTTTAGGCTTGGCAAGTTCTCAAAGACCTGGAAGATAGCCTCGGTTGTTGTGTTTCCTAAACCGGACAAGAATCTCTTATTTCCGCAGAACTGGCGCCCCATCAGCCTGCTCCCAACTCTGGGAAAGCTGGCAGAACGAGTAATCCTGGCTAGGTTAAAAACAGTGATGAACGCCCGGGTTTAGGAACGATCTTTCCACGGAACTACAACTAGCCAGAACAGCGCAGCTGATACAAACCGCTCTAAGTAAACAGGAATCAACCGGGATGATAATATTCGACATAGCCAAAGCCTTTGACAAGGTCTGGCATGATGGCCTTTTAGTCAAAATGGCCCATTTTGGGGTCCCCAGCGGGCTGATTAAAATCATCGGTAGCTTCGTGCAGGAAAGGTCGTTCCGAACTTAAACTAACAGCACTTCTTCGTCCGCATGAACAATAGAAGCAGGTGTACCTCAAGGGTCGCCACTAAGTGACATTGTTTAATATATATACGGTAGACATCCCCACCTTAAGCCCCGTGCCAATGGCGCTTTACGCAGATGAGACGTGCTTGATCTACTCTGACCGGAACATCATAAAAGTAAGTAACACCTTACAGAGAAATATAGACCTCATGGTGGAATACTTCCAGAAATGGTAAATTAAAATTAACAACGACAAAACCAAGGCTATATTTATAAAACGAAAGAGAAGGCAGCATCCTCCAGAAGTGAGCAATCAGTGTCATGGAGATACGATGGGAGAAAAGCATAAAATATCTAGGGGTCACTTTTGACAAACGGCTTTATTGGTATAAACATATGAAATGCAAACGAAATAGTTGCTCTAAAATTCTACATCTCTTTAAGCCGCTGTTTAATAATAATAGCTTCAACCTCAAAAATAGAAAGTTATTACAAACTCAAATAATTAGGCCAGCACTACTGTACGGATATGTAACATACAGCAAAGCCTCAAATATTGCCATAAAGCAATTACAGATAGCACAAAATCTGGTTTTAAGTAGACTAATAAAAATTCCTTGGTATATTAGAACAACAGACATGCATAGAGATTTAAAAATTGACTCTGTGATAAAATATGTCAAGGACAGAGCCCTAAAATTATTCACAAAAGTTGATACGTTGCCAACCCCGCCCTGACAAACCTTAAGTCCACCTCAGGACGCACAGGAAGATATGCTGATCTACGGTCCGTCATCAGTTAAAAGATAAATAAATGATAATAATTCTAGTATACTAAAAGCTTAGTGTGGGGCAGGGATAAGCCCCCCAGCCACAAAAGAGTAAAAGTTCGCAATAGCACTAACTCAAATCACAACAACAACAATATATAAAAATCTTCATAAGAATTTCTCAATTAAAATTTGACACATAAAATGACTCAAAGTTTCAACACTTAATTTTGATTTTTCTGATGTCCATCTTGGTTTACTGTAGAAAAATACGCGTTCAGTCGCAGCGTTAGTTTCAGGTATAGATAGCTTCCAAATAGCTAGCTAGCACGCATTGTATCATCTGAGAGACAAATACAATGTAATATAAAATTCAACCTAATTCTAAAAGTCGGGACTCTTGCAAAACGTCGCGGGACGCGGGACAAATTGTGAAAAATCGGGACTGTCCCGCCAAAAGCGGTGACATCTGGTCACCTGATTTTAACGGCGTATGTTAGTACAAACGTCAACACTTACACTCATAGACTATTATTGCTCACTGAACCCTTAAAGTTATCAAAATGAAACAATCTATATTGCTCATTATTTCTAAAATGGCTCTATATGTTATTCTAGTTGAACTATTTAGACGTATAGTTGGCTGCCAATATTTTGTAAATAATCTTTTTCATATACAGTAACTTCATCGCATAATCGGACAAGCATTTCTTCGATATAAATGTGCTCTAAACTTTAAAAAAATACGCTAAAAATATTATTTTTTTTGCTTTAATAATACTTAACATACTTATCTATCTAAATTATAAAAAAAATTAAAACATTTCTCAAAATAACTGTAAATTTAAAGTAAAAAACAAAACCAACACAATTTTTTTCACTCAACGCATAATCGGACAAAATGAAGGAGCCGTGCTAAAAATGCTGTTATTTTACAAATAATACCAATAACATAAATAGTTATTTTATTTTTATGTAATAATAATAATAATCTGTAATAATTCTCACAACAAATATAACAATTAAGTAATATTAAATAGTATTACAATAGCACCAAATGGATAGCAATCTACTATCGAAATTAGGCAATTAATAATTAAATTGAATTTCGAAGGTAAAACCGTTAGAGAAATTGCCAATTTAGTTGGAATAAGTCAATCTACTATCCAAGACATTATCAAGAGGTCCCATGATGAGTTTAGGCTGGCCAATAAGATCAGAGCAGCTCAAGATGAAATATTAAATGATCGAGAAGAGCATTCGATATTGAAAGAAATAAAGAAAAATCCTTCCAAAACCGCAAAAGACCTTAAATTTTCATTAAAATCCCGCTCTGGGAAAGATGTATGCTTAAATACTATTCGCAATACATAACATTAATCCGATTATCACGGAAGAATTACCATAAAGAAGCCGTTTATAAGTATTAAATACTTACTAAAAACAGAAAGCTTTTGGAATCAGATAAATTGAGGGGAAATCATCTTAAATACATTTCCATTCATGATTTTAGCTTTTTCAAGGTTTTGTTCACTGACGAAAGTAAATTTAAGTATGATTTAAGATGTTGATAAGATGTTTGTATCTCGTAAACCAAATGCAAAATTCAATCAGCCCAATACAAAAGCTGTTTTAAAAAATGAAGGAGGCTCTGTTATGGTTGGGGGTTGTATGTAAAGTGCAGGAGACGGCAATTTGCATTTTATTGATAGTTAAATGAACAAATTTGGCTACATTCTTATTTTGAAACAGAATGTAAAGCAAGGGGCAAAGATATTGGGTATCGTGAAAAACTTCACCTTTGATCAGGACAACGATTATAAGCATACGTCAGCCGTATTAAAACTTTGGTTCATCCAAAACTGCCCCAAATTCATAGAAGCACCTGCACAGAGCACAGACCTTAATGTAATTGCGCATCTTTGGAAGCAATTAGCTAGAAAAGTGTATTAAAAAAAAAATTTAATAGTACAGGTAATGAAGGTTCAGAACATGGTACTAATTAGAGGCAGAAGTGTGCCAAAACTTGGAAAAATCAGTTACAAATCATCTCCAGGCCGTTCTGGATAACAAAGGATATGTAACAAAATATTCATTGCCACATTTCTGCATTTTTAATATGGCTGCTTCATTTTGTCCGATTATGCGTTGAGCGCAAAAAATTGTATTGGTTTTGTTTTTTACTTTAAATTTACAGTTATTATGAGAAACGTTTCAATTTTTTTTATAATTTAATAAGAAAGTTAAGTATTAATTAAAGCAAAAAAAATAATATTTTTAGCATATTTTTTTAAAGTTTAAAGCACATTTATTTCGAACAAATGCTTGTTTGATTATGCAGTGGAGTCTGTATGTATGTATGTTTTAAATATACTCTGCTCTGATCCGCAATTGATTTACGGCTATTTTATGTAATAAACTTGACGATATAGTTCTGTGGGTTAGTATATTAAAAAGTATTTGCAATATGCGTAAGTCTATCTAGAAATTTTAATCTTTCACTTATCGTATAATTTTATAAAAATTATGGAACAGTTTATTAGATTATTTTGTTATTCCAGAATCTTGACTAATATTGCATGTTGCATTTTGAGATTTTGAATATTGTTGTATCCCTTTACTTATGACTGTTGTTATAAATGCAACTCTGGCTGGCATTCAAAATAGAATAACAATTGAGAGACGCTTTTAGATATAACATATATAGTTAGTCACGCAAAATGTAATAATTCAATAATAAACAATCAAGTTACAATAATTGACGACGAGGAGAAAACAAAGACATTCGTACTTCAAAATTGATGCTACTCAATTTGCGCAACTAGCTGCTTCAACAATTAAGTGCTAGACAACCAATTCAGGCGCAGATATTAAGTTTTAGTTTATATCGTCAAAGATTTGAAAATTACTTAAAACTCAAAAATGTTTTCGAAAACAAAAATTGTGCCACCAAAAACTGATAAATTCAATTGGTGCAATTCGTTTCAAATTATTGGTTGCGATGGTGGCACCCGAAATAGTCACGGAATTACCTTACAACACAATTATTCAATTATTCTTTATCATAAATTCACTTTATCAACAACAAAATGAATCAATTGCTAAAAATGTAAACTGAGAAATCTGGTCATTGAATGCAACTTTATATTTCCATGTCAATGCAAAGCAAATATCGCAGGTATGTTTTTACGAGTTCAATTAATTCGTTGGATTAAAGATAATTCAATTCGAGAAAAATTACTATTAACTCAAAATGCAGAATTCAATGAAATTATAGAACAGCCTGTTGCTTTAGAAGCATCAAAAATTGATAGCAGAGAGTTAAACTTAAAGCGACTGAAATGCTGACGACGTTTCTAAGAATCTTCAAATCTATCAACGGCAACATATCCTCTACAAAAAATTCCTTAAATAATCGAAAGTTTAATTGGTCA